CCTTCATTGTTCTGTGTCTTTAATACTAAGATTTAATCAATTCTGGTTGGAAGAATCCTCAGAAAATTGCATTTGACTCCTTGAAACCCTCTAAGGAACTCACAGGATTGCACAGTTTAGAATCTGCATGGGGAAAGAAGAAAGTATGTGGCTCAAGAGCTTGAACTATAGAGTGCGGGTGCCTTTCTTTCATCTTTACTCTGTTGTTTGTGTTACCTTGGTAAGCTTCTTGACTTCTCTGTACCCAGTTCTTCATCCATAAGTAGTTTGAAAAATAGCACTCATTTCATAAATTCTTACAAGGATTAAGTGAGCTAACATGTAAAAAGCTTGCTCAGAAAGGCATCTGGAGATCTATCTATCTCTATCTATCTATCCCTATCTGTCTGTCTGTCTGTCTGTCTGTCTGTCTGTCTATCTATCTATCTATCTATCTCCAGTAAGTACCTGTGGATTTTAACACTAGTGATATTATTCTATTCTTCATTGTAGATTAAGTATAGTTAAACTAGAAATGGGGTGTTTCCCTCCCTCTTTTCAAACTCATTAAAAGATTTTGTGTTACGTTGCATTTCTCAATATATAGTACCTTCTTCCCCCATCTTTGTCACTATTGTGAAGCTCGCACTCTCAGTTAAAGAAGACCAATAAGATGCTTTCCTTTGAAAGTGTCAGAAGTTCTCTTGTGATACTTTAAAGTTATATATTTATTTCCCATACATAATAAGGAATTGAATGAAGTTTGAGCAAGTTAACTCCTCTGTCATTCCCACCTTCCATTTTCTTCACTCCCCCCACCAGGTGGCACACCTCTGGATTTTACAGATAATTTGAATTCACTTATTAAATAAAAAAGGGGTCAAGCTTTAGTCAAGATATACTCTGCTTTATAATTTCACATTACTGGGGTCTGGAAAGAGCCATTATGGAAGGTGCAATGGTACCCTATTCAGACTTGTTTTCAAATGCCTCTAGAAGGCTTACATATGGTTATATGCCTGCTAATTCAAAGATTAACATCTTACAGCTAAGAAGTTAACATGACATGCATTGCCTCATAGTAGCACTGTTGAACAGTTTTTGTAGATCTTTGCTCTTTCCTGTGTTTTTTTGTCTTCACAAACATTTTATACTTTCTCACTTTGAATAGTCTCTTCCCCTTCTTAAGTGTTTTTGTTTTGGAAGAGTACATATATGTTTTTTAAAAAAAGAACCACTTTGCTGTCAGATGCTCTACTGATTACTGCAGTGATCAGTTTCTCACTTTATAGTTTGTTGTTCTGACCTATATAAAGGAGATTAATCCATAGCACAGATTGAAAGACAATTTCATTTTCTCACCTGTTTACTTCTTGTTTATTCACTGGTCATTATGACTTTGGGATAAATAAATGTGATATTACAGAAGAAATACAAATGATTGCTAGAATAATAATTCAAAACTGCTCATTTTAAATCGTAGAATTAGATTCTATTTGGAAAAATTCTTTGAAATTTGGAAATGCCATAATATAAATTCAGGCTTTTGCTGGAAAACTTCAGAAAGTTAAGGTCGATTTAAAATATTTTTCAAAATAGTTTCATCAGTTTAAAAGTTGCTTTAGGATCCTCTGCTTCCTTCAGACTTCTTCATTTCTGACTTCTCAAATTCTGGAATCTCAATTTATATAAACTTCTTTTTTCAATAGGAGCATATCTGAGTTTATTTTATACCTGATTCAAAACACCATGTCCCTTAACCTGTTAGCAGCCTAATTGAGCAGTCAGACGGTATTATTCAGTATCTTGTCTGACATGAAGACAGCAGTCCAAAGAGAAAGATATCACAAATTGGTGCCACACTTCCATAAATAGAGACATTTTATTTTTCACCAAGCTAATTCAATCCAGTTCAGTTAACTCTTTTTTTCCCCTGTAAGGACACATCAAAAACGGCAGCCATGAATGACTGAATTTGTCATGTGTTTGACACGTCAATGTGTGAGTGTAAAGCAGCCCACAGGGGAGGGGATCGGCCTTTGGAGCTCATACAATACCCATTACAAGAGCCTCACTCACACATACACTGGGCTGAGCTGGGGATCTCAGCGGACTCATACACTCAGGTACAATGGAAGAGGGCTGGTTCCTCTGCCCTGCATGCCCTTCCCTTCACAGTGGTGGCAGCCTTTTAAACATAACCATTCTTGAGAAGTTTCAGTTGGTCATTGAGTTTCATTTTACTTTCGTAAGTGAAAGTGATTGGTTACTATGTATTAGGTTTGTGATGTTCTAAAAGCCTGTTCCTGAAAAGCTTAAAACAGAATTGTAGAATTCCTGAGACATATACTGGGAGTTTTACAGTCATATATTGTTCATTGTCAAGGATGTAATGGGATGGAGTGTGCCCCCAAACATGAAACATCTCAGTGTTTATGAGAGGTTAACCTTGAGGTCCAAGATCCTCTTCTTTGGCTTCAGAACTTTCAGGGGCTCCTTCCCCCAACTGCTGGTATTCTAGTCTCCTCAGTATCCTGCCCTGATGGTTCTGCCCAGCAGCCCCAGACCATACCAGATGGTCTGCAGAGCTCTCCTTTTACTCTAGCCTACCAAGTCTGCCTTTCCCACTTGAACCCAGGGCCTTATGCATGCTAGGCAAGCACTTGTCACTGAGCTATATCCCCAGCCCCTTTCTGTAATTTAGATCCTGCTTCTTCCATGAAGTAGGCCCTGTTGCTGAATTGCTATAACAGAACATTGCTTTTCTCTATTTGCTATGAAAATTGAATTATCAAGAGTGCTCTCCCCTGCTTCCCCGAGGTGCAGCTCTGCTGAATGCTTTCTCACCACAAAGTGGTATTACCTGATCATTTTATTTGGCCTCTTGGTTCAGGGCTTCAGCTGTACAACCAGTGCTCATGAAGATCTGTATATAGAGAAAGGGACTAGTCTATCTGTGTCACACAGATAGCAGGACAGATTCTAAAGGAAGACAGCTCTAGTTACCTGGGGAAGGGCCACACACAAATCATCCAGCCTCTCGATTTGCCCCTGTTTTTAAAATGAAGGTATGGAAGATACAGTAATATGGAGCCATGTGACCCCATATTATGGTAATGAAGTCTAGTTTGGTAAAGTGTCTGTTAGGGTGCTACATAAAGTTTATTACATGTTTATTGCTGTTATAACTGGTGTTGCAATGTAATTACGTTTATTCAACATGTCCTATCTACTAGTCACTGTTCTGTGTTTTGCACATTAACTTATTTAATCATCATACTTTCGCCACTTCATTTGACAGTGAAGGAATAAGACAATAAGTGTTAAGTAATTCCCTCAAGTTCACACAACAGTACAAGGCCGAACTAGGATTTGGATGCCTACTGCCTGGCTCCAGGGCCTTCATTCGCTTCTCTGCTCTTGATCACCTTGGTGTCCTGATGGATGTGGGTATAAATCATTTGTCCTTGAGAATGTCAGTCAGATGGAGAGGAACATACCAGAATGTTTCTTGACCCACCAGAAACCATGCTCTGAAATAATGGGATAAAGAGAGCTGTGTCCTGCTGGATGCCTCTCTTGATTTTCTTGGATTGGAAACCACATGTGTCAGCAGCTGCTACCCCCACACTCTAGGCTGAGGTGGACTGTGTAATATCTTTCTGGCTTTTGTTTTGTCATTTTCTGCCACTGTTTAATCAGGCTCTTTTGGTTTTGCTGGTTGTGCTGGTGACACTAGTCCTAGAGCCAGTAGAACACCATAGAGATGGTGAGATACAGGGAATGAGAAAAGGAGGCACATAAACTTGGATATGGTGCCTTGTAGGTATTTAACCATGTTTCTCTCTTGTCTAGTGTGTCACCCAGCTCCACTGAAATACTAAATTCATCAGCAGGATCTGTAGCTAGAGAAGGTCAACAACCACTACAGATCTTAGTCATAACAAATGAAACTTCAGCTGTGTGGCTGTCTCTTCATGTGGTCCTACATGCATGTGTGCGTTGTAGATTTTTACCTTAGGATATATATATACTTGTAGTTACAAATATTTTTCAGCTATGATATCCATTGTCCATACTCTCTGTCACACAATCAAAAGTTTTCTAAGCGAATTTTTAAAATCTTCAAAGGATTCCAGTTTTTTTTTGTTTTTTTGCTGATAATATACAAATAATGAAAAAATACATATCTTACAGTGTCTTGTGTGTATGGAATAAAAAGGCTTGTAGGACAGTAATGCTTCGTAGCAGTTCTGCAGCTAATACTCTTAAGTGCTGGGTGAAAATTAAACTTGAAGAGCACTGATGAAATATTTACTCATCAAATGGCTTTGAAGTTGAGCTTCTTTTGGGTTATAGTCCCAGTCCTAATGGACATGTTTCAAAGACAAAAATGGTTATAGCATTCAGCTGTGGTATTTTCTTATTCTCTGCATGGAAGAAATCTGTTTTGCTTTGGTCTGTTTCGGTGTTTAAATTTTGAAGGCTGGCTACTTAGAAATCACATTAATGACAGAAATGGTTCATACCAATCTGAATTCATTTTCATTGATAGGGTAATGTTTCATAGTTAATTTTTCTAATACCTCAAGCATTTTGAACAGAGTGCTTAACTCTTTCATTCTTTCCAAACATTAATTTACTTAAGCCTCCAAAGTTTTTTAATAAGCCTTGGGGTGAGTTAATGTGTATATAAAATGAATAATATTATTAAAAACTAGTTTTATAAAGTACCTTGTTGAGTAAAATTGCTGTGTTTAAAGATATTTGGAAGCTACATACTTAGGTGTATTCTTCAATTCTGATGATAGAGTTTTTCTTTACATTTTAAAATTATACCTACTTTAAGAATATTGAATGAATGCTGTTTTTCTTTTACATCTTGGATTCAATTTCACTTCTCGTAAATATGGACTTCAGAAATTTTTCTTTCAGCGTTGGTTAAGAATTTTCTAATTTTGTGTTTTCTTCCATGTGGACTATGACACACTTTTAATGTTTATGTTTGTTTTATTACTTAGTTTTCATATGAATCCGACAAGCAGTGAAGACCTCAGGAAAATCCTGGTAAGTTGCTGAAGAGTTAAAGAATTACCAAAGAACAAGCTGGTCTTCTCTTAGACAGTCGATCCCCCAAATACCCACTGTTTTTGAATACTTCAGTTAAGTGAAGTATTGTGGATCAACTTCAGTTTTGGGGTGTAGGAACTTCAGTTTTGGGGAGCAAGAGAGAAAGTGAAATTCAGCCTTTGCTTTAGTAACCCGAGGGTGTACTTCTGTATCTGACCAGTGGGAAATTCAAGCAAACTGTTATAATTGAAGCAATTTAGAGTTGCATATTTTGTTTGCAATCCTTGAGCAATGAGTAAGAAACAGTATGTCAAAGTATTCATTTTAGTTATGTATTAAGAGCACGTGGTGAAGACTGATTGTTGTTGTTGGAATGAGGATTGCAGAAAGAATAAAGCTGCTTCTTAACATTCCACAATCGGAAAAGCAGCCTAGCATGAGACCTAGTTAGCCAGGAAAGTATTTGAAAAATATAAAAACAGATACTTTAGGACATTTGCTTTCCCAATCAGAACAAAACCACATACTGTATATTACTAGAATTGGCAGCGACCAGCCAGATCAATGCACGTATTTTGCAAGAGTCATTTTGCTATCTTAACTTCATTTTTATTGTTATCTGGGTTGGATTTCAGAGTTCTGTTGCATCTGCAGTCAATTCTAAATATATTAAACCTAGATAATAAGTTACTTTACAAAATTATAGGCAAATGTTCTTAGAAGAAAACTAAATTCTCGCTGAAAAACAGAAATAGAGCCTTTATTTCAAGAGCCTTGTGGTTGCTGTTTCAACCATCTGTCCTTGATGTGTGTGATCCAGATGTATAATACAAATTTTTTTAAGCGATCACATATCATGAGTTTCTATGATGTGATATGCCTAAAAGAAGTAGAGGTGGAGTTAGAATTTACCATATAAATTTAAATGCAAGTTGTCTGTCTTTTAAATTGTAGAAAACATTGTAGAAGCACAGGACTTTGTACAATGTTTTTGCTGTTTTATGTAAATGATTTGTGAGTTTTGATGTTTCATAAATACTGAAGTCTTTATAATATGGCAGTCTGGCAAGAAATGTCAGAATATATGAAGTCAGCCTTTGATCAGATAGTAAAATGAATTCTATCAGACGGTTATTTAATCTCAAACAAAATACAACATCAAAAAATCGATTTAATATGTAGCCATTGTTTATTAAGTAACCTTAATTACAATTTCTATGTGCTGTAAATGTACTTTTCCAAATCTTGAAATTTATTGCTATAAAAGCATCCTTAGAAATCTTTAAAGAAATAAAATGTGAAAATTGTTTTAGTTAAAGGATTTAAAGGTGATAAAAGAGTCCGTGATGTGTGATTATTTTTCTCGGGAATACTAACTATTCTAAATGACAGTTAAAGGATTACTAGGTGTCGTTAATTTACTGCAAGATACAATTAAGAGGAGAAAGCTCATCCTTACACTGACTATTATTGAGGAAAAGTATTTGAACAATTTTTATGTTGGAGATTGTAAGATATTTGAAGTAATTTACATTAAGTTCTCCAGTAATAGCCATCCACCAAGTTATTTTCTCCTCTTCTGGACGTAGTATTTTGTAATTAAGTTTGTTCGTCGTCTCTGCTGGTGCCAACACCTGTCTGTGAAGGCGCGGTGTTTAAGCAGGAGCAGTAGCCAGTTGAAAGGGCAGTGTGAGCTCTTTAAGGCCTAATTAAGAACTGAAAGGGAGATGAAGGGAGGAGGACAAAAGATGTGAAAGTAGCTGAGATGATATTCCCAGAGCAAAGTTCCTCATTAGAACAATAATGAGATGATCGGAGAATGCCAAGCCTTCATCTTCTCCCTCTCTCGCCCCGCTGGTTGCCTTGGATGTCAGTTAGTGCCCCACCAATATTTGGTTGCCAGGACAACCTTTCTTTAAATCTTCAGTTATTTTGAGTCCTGATAATTTGCTTTTGTTTAAATTTAAATATTGTAAAAAATGTATATTTCCTATCTTAAAAGGCTAGATTATGTGTAAAATAAAAATAGACCACGAGTAATTCTCAGTTTTGTGTAGAACTCTGTTATTTAAAATTCTCATTAAGAAACTTCATGTGATAATTCTGCTACTCTCTCACCAAGCCCCATTTTCTTGTTATCTTCATATGGACATTTTTTAGTAGAGGTGGAATAAGAAGGAGTCAGGATTAGTTGTGAAAGGGGTAAGAAAAGAAAAATGTACATTAAATTTGAAAATAAGGCATCTTAAAAGCATATGTGCCGTCTATATGGAGTGCTACAGGAAAAAAATACTGAGTACTTAAGAGCTTCGTTTGTGTTGTGTTTGGTCTTTACCAGTTTGGAAATTTCTCAGTTTTCAAAAATTTTCCAAGAACAATAGTAAATGTATGTTGAAAACACAATTTTTGTATATTTTCCTGAGTTTTCCTCTTTAAGCAATCTAATTTTTATAACCAGAAAATAGTTTTCTATTGTTTGTATTAGTTAATAGTAATCGTTATATTATTTTCTTTGGATTTACATTACGAAACAGAAGAGTATATATTTATTGAGTAGATCTGTCAGTGTAAGAATCTTATGTCTAAAATTAGAAGGTTTATATGGTTTTCAAATATTAAATAAAATTTGGAACCAAGCCTGGAACTGTTTTTAATTATCTTATATTCTTTTTCAGAATATAGTTTATAGTACATGTGTTTCTAAGATGTTTTCCTGCCCAGAAACTTGATGCTGAAATTCAGGATAAAATTGTCACATTAAAAGGACAAAGGGAAACTTTACTGAAAAGAACAGACATGTATTTTCAGGAAATCTTTCTGTCATTACAGTACAGTATTAGGTCATTGTGAGGGGAAAAAGTATATTGTATATTCTCAGTCAAGGCTGTAAAGTGTTGAACAGCATTCTGAGATAATATATTACTTTGACAGATTATTAGATTGATTTATATCATGACATAAACTTAGGCTAATTATTTCAAAATGAGTAACTTGTGACATCTTTGATCTTCATTGTCTTTAGAGAAATGTTAAAAAATTTTAACTGCATTAACCATTATTACTTATATGATGTTTACTGTAATGGTACAAATGATTTTTTAATGTATCGTCACTTAATTACTTTGGAAAAATCAATTCATTTATATATAATTTCATTAAATTAGAGACTGGAACAGATGCTGTTATTATGTTAAATTAAGAAAAAAACAGTCAACCAATCAGTAACATATCTCATTTATTTTAATTTCATTTGTCCCTTCAGTTCTTACAAGCGCTCCTGTTTTTTCAGTAAATATTTTATTAGAAAAATAAAATCACAGTTGGGACAATTACTTCTAAAAGTTCAGAAAAATCACTTGGTAGACTACAGAATTTAAGAGACCCAGGAGATGATCTCATTCATCAGATAGGAAAAATGTAGCCTAACTTGATTGCTACCTCAAATCTGTGCAATATTACTTGGGTTGAGGAAGAAACTTTAACATCTTGGACAGATTTCAAAAATAGACTTACTTCCATGGTGTATACCTTCACTATAGGAAATTATCATATATAATAAGTGCTTTATAAAAATATTAAGACATTTATAATGTTATGCTACTCATTAACAGGTAAATTAGTAACTGAGCTTCTGTGTGTATGTAAACTTAATTGATCTGAAAGAGAAGAGAACAAAAAGCCAATGCTTACCCCTGGAATTGTCGTTTAATGGTTTTAGAGCAACGTTTGAAATGTTTTCAGGGACAAAAATAGTATTAGCTCACAAAGTTACATTTTTTTCTAGTATTTAATGCCAAAAAATAAGAAGTAGTTTTAAATATATCTTATAGAATTTACACTAATGTCCTTTTAATACTTCCTCTGTTCATTCTTATTAACTCTTGTCTTTGATATTTCAATCTCCCTATATCCAGTCTAAGGTCTTCCAAGTGATCTTACCCATTCTTGCTGTTTGGATTTCCCTAGATCATACTTTAGTCATACCATTTCTCTGTTTAGAAACCTTCAGTGGTTTCTCCTTTCCCATTGCAAACAGTCTAAAACTCTTTAACTTAGCTTTTAGTATCCTTGGTGGTTGGTTGAATCTTCCATGTAATGCCTCTGCTTCCTGTTTTTCACTTCATTTCCCAGCCGTTCCTTTCCCAGTGATAGCCATTCTCCACTGAAATGCCCATTATGCATTTCCGCTTGCAGAGTCCCTGATAGCCTATGCAAGCTCTGTCATCTCCACAAAGCCTGAGAGCTTCTAAGGAGAGGGGGAAGCTTTTCCATTCTGAGTTGGTTGGTTTGACCTGGACAAAAGAGTGTGTTTCAACAACTCTAGCACCACTACAGTATCTGAGCATTAGCTTCTGTTTCTCTGGTGCTGCCGTAGTCATGGGCTCTGGGGTGGGGATGCATGGTGAAGAGCTCAGCTGTGGCCTTAGCGATGATGAGTTCTAGAGCCACAGCACAGCCACAGCAGACCCTGAGCTTGGAGAAGGGCGTTTAATGCCTGTGGCAAGCGGGGCTCTGTGGAGTGACCATCCCCATCCCCCAGTCCTCACTAAATAGGTTCTTTTAGTCTTTAAAAGCAAGAAAACCAATTTCTTTAATATTTCAGTTGATTTTTCTTACAGTAGAAATTATTTGAACAAAGGTGATGAAATTCATTTTAAGTTGTTGGATTTAATGATAGAACTATGTTTAAATGGCAAAAGTTACTTTATATTTGGGCATTTTTCAAAAGAAAAATCTAAATGCTACATAGTATCAATAAAAGACATTATACTGCCTTTCCTGATGCTTGAGAAATATTTCTTTTTTGCTGTTGGTGTCTCATTAATTTTAGAATTCTTTGTAATGGGAATGAATTAAATCAATGCCATTTTCATTTTTTTGGTTATATCTATGCTTTTGTTTAAAAAGAAGATTACCTAAGTAAATAAAGTGAAACTGGATAGAATGCAGGTAATACTGATCATAATATTATTGTGTTTTGTAATTGGATTTCCTGATAACCAAGGTAAAAAGGGAAATATGATAAGCAGTTATATATAGGTATTGTTTGGAGGAGGACGAAATACACTAGTTTTTCAGTGGGGAAAAAAATCTCTGCTGCCTCTAAATTAAAATAGGTTATGTATAGGTTTTTATAAGGATGCTGATCAGTTCCAAGTGCTCTCAACATTTCACAGCAAATTGAGAGTAGCATATTGATGTTTCTGCTTCTTGTGTCTATCTTCATTATAAAGCCACTAAGTATGTTACACCACAGTTCAACAGAAACAGATCCTTGAGGACTAATGTCCAAATGTGTAGTTTTCAGTGTCTTCTTCTAGTTTCTCTAAGTTAATTCTTAGACATTTTCATTTTGGTCCTCATTTAGGCCTAGCAGCTTTTAGTTTTAAATTATAGAACACTTTATTTCTTAATTTAGTCTTCAACTGTATGTGAATTTCTTATTCTAGAAAAGTGTTCATAACAGAAAAAGGGATTTAGAACTCAGAGTTATAATAAAGGCTTTGGTGCATCTGTACAAGTTTCTGCCTCAGAGCTGGCCGGCCAATCTGGCAACTGTCTCATTAGTTCTAGCTGAGAGTGGAAGGAAACTTTGTCAGGGCTGAAAAACCAAAGCTGAGGTTCTAAATAATTCTTAATGTTTGCCGCTGATACTCTCTCTGCTAAAGTGACAGTCTGTACCCCATTCCAGGACAGCAATCCTTTCGATGCCACTGCAGGGTACCGTAGTCTGACTTACGAAGAGGTGCTGCAAGAGCTGGTGAAGCACAAAGAACTCCTTCGGAGGAAAGACACCCACATCCGGGAGCTTGAGGACTACATCGACAACCTCCTCGTCCGGGTGATGGAAGAAACGCCTAGTATCCTCAGAGTGCCATATGAACCATCCAGGAGAGCTGGCAAGTTCTCCAGCAGTGAATAAAGCCAGCCGTGCTGCATTCATAATTGGAAAGAGAGCAGGAGGGGCAGGGGAAGAGACAGAGAGAAACTTGCTACTGAAAGAGTCAACACTATCAGGTTTCATTATATATACTCCTTCATTGTGACAGTTATTTTACCTGTAAATACTAGCAGGGGCTATCAGTAGTGACCTTTGAAGTGAGCAAACTACTTTAAACTTTTAAAGTGATGTGGGCCCAGATTCCTGTTGAACAGGAATTTCCATAGGAGTCACTTGGGTGCTGGCATCGGCCACTAATCTGCCATAGGCCCAGAAATATCTTCACAAGTCCACGAATTAGTCCTCAGGAATAGATCTTTCATAAAGCAGAGGTGATACTGTGGCTGGATTCTCAGAAGTCATTTTGTAGGCATTTAGCTTCAGGAATACTGCTTGTTATCAACACTACTAAAAAACAGTTCATGTTTTATATACATACACACACATGAATATATATATGTTCATGTGTCTTTGTATATAAAATACATGCATATACCTCACATAAACGTGTTTTTAGAACAACTGGTTGCCTCTAAGGTTAGAATAATAATTTCAGAGATTGAAAATGTGTATTTGCTCTGTCGACGCAAGACAGATCACTAGTGTTAAGGCTCATTATGGAGAAGCTGCTTCACGTCACTCGACTTTGTGAAATGCAGTTTCAAAGTCAGCTGCTACATATAATTCCAACATCAAAGTTTAGCTCTTTTTCAAAAAGTAATGACCTGAGTTCCTTTTTAAAAGAATCGAGTTTTAGGACACTTGATTAACTTCACAACAGCGTGAATTTCTTTGAATTAATTTTTACCTAACATTTGAGTTGTATGCAAGGTATAAGCAGAATGCAATTTGTTTCATTGAAATTCTGCCTGCCTTTAAAACACAACCAAGAAAAATATTATAAAGATATATCTGAAAATAATTTTTTGGGAAAAATAATTCATCAGCTAGTGCCCAATAATCCAAAGCAATGAACAAATTCTAAGAATGAAGAATTAGGCTTGGTTTCGAGTTTCATAAATAATGGAACAGATGGTTGCCTTTGGGTCTTGAACCAAAATAAGACTTAACTACAGGAAGAGCGAGGTTTAGAGCAGATCGTTAACTAGCATGACGTTACATATTGCTCGACATCCATACTTTAATAATTGATTTATCACAAAATTTATTTTCAGTTTACTCCCAAAACTTGATTCATCTATAGATTTGCTTTATATATTTGTATAACATTACTCTGAAGGGCAATAATGCAAAAATTTGCTAATCTACTTGCTTTTCTTCTTTAAAACTAAAATACTATGAAACAGAGTATCTGTCTTTCTGAATTTAAAATAAAAAGTTTGTCTGTATATGGAGGCTAATACATTCCCCAATCCTTTCATGAATTACATTTGTATAATGTTCAGGCTTTATTGAATGTTAAAAAGCAGTTATAATAGTTTTGCTTATTTTAATATTTTGAATCAGAATCCTTGCCAAACTTAGATTCCTAAACCAAAATCCCTTGTTTTCTTAGTTACCTTAGTTTTCCTATGAGAATATGCATTTTAAAATTGTGAAAATTTTTTCCCAAGCACAAAAATTAAATACTTTTCTACAATTAAGAAACTAGGAAGGAAAAATAACTTCCTTCCACTCATAATTAAAGTTCTGTAATGCACCTCAAAATCTAGTGTGGGATTTTATTTCCCCATTTGAGGTCTGAGTAATTATTTTTTAACATGGTGCCATTTGAAATTACTAAATGTTACAAAGTTCTTAGCATTTTTTTCTTAATAGTGTTACTGAGGCCTAAACATTTTAAAATACCAAAATTATGCATTTTCAGTATTATGACAATTACCTGCAGATATCTTAATACACTTTAGTCAGATTTGTTCTTTGTAGAATGAGCCAAGATGTTATTTTTGTACTGGGGGGATGTGTTTTCCATAATGCTCATTTAAAATGATGGTTCAGTTACAGCTGCTCTTTTTTATGAGAAAATTTATTTTTAAAGAGTAATTCTTTGTCTCTAATAAAATGGTTAAAGAATAGACTTATCTATGCATGAATGATTGGCCACAACTGAATCAATATTTTTATGTTCAAAATGTTATACAGGTATTGTATTTAAAACCAAATCTGTATTTACCATTGCTTGCAAATGTTCAGTTCCAATGTTTATGAATTTTCACTCATGACCCAGAGTATAAACTTACTACTATTTTCATAATCAGTCAGTATAACAAACTAAAGAAAAGTGAAATGAACTGCCAAGTAAACATACTAGTGTTTCTTCTATTTGAGCAGGAATATAAACAGAGTACTTTTAATTTCTGGCATTGTAGAAGAAAGGCCAAAAAGACGACCTTAGTTTATTTTTCCAAAATATAAATAGCCTAATGATATATTTTGTTAGTAGGTTAAACATAAAATGTATGTGCTCATTAAATATGCATGGTACAATAGATTTATAAGCAGATTTACTTCTGCTTTTATGCTTTAAAAAAGCATGTTCAGAACTATTCCCACAAAAGATTTTTTTAAAAATTACTGAATTGACATTTATCTCAAGCCTATCTTAAACTAACATACTTCTGTTACATAATTAAACTGTTTCTGCTCTTAAATTTATTTTTTTGTTTTTATTTTTTGGTTTTTTGATACAGGGTCTCACTATGTAGTTGAGACTGACCTGGAACTCACTAGGTATCCCAGGCTGGTTTTGAACTCACAGCGATCCTGCTGCCTCAGCCTCCTGAGTGCTGGGATTACAGGCGTGCGCCACCACGCCCAGCTTCTGCTCTTAAATTTAAAACAGTATTGTTTTACAACCAGTTTTCCTCCCATTTCTAAAATTCAGCTTTGAAAGTATTGATCAGACAGTCCTAGGTTTCATGTTACTGAATACCAGGACCATTACTTAGAACTGTATATAAAATATTGTGTAACCCATTCATGGAAATGTTTATTGCCTTTTTGCTGCTATATTCTGCTTTGAGCCTAGTTTTGCTGTCCTCCCATGAATGTAGTAGTATCCATAGATTATACATAACTACATGTATTGCTTTTGGCCGTAAATCAAGATTTAGTTGTAATTTTCCAGCTGTGAAAATGTTGCCTTGTATTTAAAAGGGTTTCATGAATGGGAACCTATGTAAATCTAAGCTCATTAGTGATAGTTGCTTTTTTCATGTCCTTCCTTCACCATCGACCCTGCCCCTGTGTCCCCCTGCCAACTTCCCCCCATGAGGGTGCTTACTCTTTAACAAGGAGAATCTTTTAATAAAAAAGATTGCTGTCTTTACTGTACCTTTAGTAATTGTTACACTAGAACTTTTATTTTCCTCAGTAGCTTTCTAGAAATAGCAAACTACTTTGAGTTTGTAAAACAAGCTACAACGCTTTAGATGGTCATGTACTCATATGTCTTACCTATAAGCAGATGCCGTGTGTGTGTGTGTGTGTGTGTGTGTGTGTGTGTGTGTAAGTGAAGTATAAAGCATGCCCGTTCACTTCATCTCTTTGAAGTAAGAGGGAAAGGATCACTGCAGGTTCATAGTAGTAGATATGAGGGTCTGTCAGCGCACATTGAAATCCCCTGTTTTCACAGATTTATAACTTTAATAATCCAGATGCAATCATTGGAAGTATTTAATATGCAATAGGTAGCACCTTAACTAATTAATCTGCAGATGAAGGCTTTTCTGATGTATTTAAGAAGTGTAGAAGCTCTTCAAGCATTAAACTAGACTTGACGTTTTATTTCATTTATTGTCTGTCAAAAAATTCACTCTTACAGTGGAATTGCAGTCTGTAACTAATGGTACATTTGGGCTTATTAATCTCAGAATCTTCCAGATGGTTTGTATTTTAGGTACAAAAAATGCTGCAGATCTAGATATGTGTATACTTAGCAGGTATTTGAATGATACAAGCATTATTTATAACTGAAGAGTATTAAACTTACCTTCTTAAGTAACTTGTATACATTTTTGCAGGTACAAACTCAGAAGTCTGTAAACATTGTACAATTTATGTAATCTGATGCATGAATCAGACTTTTTATATAATATTATTATTATTGATTCATTATAGTTTATTAAAGTGTTAAAACTTAATTCAGTTGTCGCTGTTTCTTGTTATAGATAAAACAGGGTTAGCATCGAGCATTTGGGCCCACATCCTCCTTGTCTTTTAATGTATACCTGGGATGCCTCTCACTTGAGGTATTGTAGCAAGTGCTCTGTAAGATCTACAAATTTACTCCACTGTACAAATGGCTCTAAAACTCCTGTACAAGAGTAGCTTCTTGGTACCTTGGTGTGGACATTGTCCAGCAAATTTGGGAATGCCCTCTACGTAGAATACATGCCCTCATAAGGATGGAACTGACAATTTGGTAGAAAATGACTTTTGACTCTTTCCACAGAAGCTAAGACCTGTGAAGGATGCTTTCTAGTTCTGTATTATTTCCTCACAACAACTCTGTAAGGTAAGGAATGCTTTCTCTTTAGTCTGTGACACAGGTATTTGGGGGCAATTCTGGAATAGAGAAATGTTCCTAGTATGTAAATGGCCATTTTTCATGTTGGTTTTCATGCCTTTCTCAGAAATGTTTCTAATATTTAAATGGGCTTGTGATTTAAGTGCCATGCATTTCACATTTTTCCTCAAATTTTATAGAATAACACAATTGCATAGTTTCATGTTTTTGTGCTGATAGTTAATACTTATATACCTATAATTACATGAATCAAAATGCTATTTTTATTCTACTTCCTGCACACTACCACTTGAGTCTTAAATATTCAATTTGTTTATCATTTGTTAGGCAGACTAAAAAGCCAGATATGGTGGGAAGCAAGATATCCATAAACTTATTTTTTCAGGGGTTTTCAATTCTAATATATTGAGGTCAAATGTAAGATAAGGATGGGCTTGTTACCCTAAATTTTGATACAAACTTGTGTACAAACCAAAGTTTGTAAATTACTTTAAAAATTAGAACAGTAGAGACTTGCTGCTGTAGTGTTACATTCCCTTACACTCTGACAAATGACAGAAAACTACACAAGAAACAATAGGTACATGCATTCCTAGCAATGATTCTCATTTGTGTTACAACTCTTGGTGCAAGATTGCAAGCTCAAACTTTAGAGCCAAATAGGTATGGTGGGTGATAGGGCAGGTTGGGTGTAAAAGAGCAGGGATCATGGGGACAGTGACAGTCTAGAACCCATCTACCCCACGGAGGGAACCACAGCTGTCCAGCCTGAGCTCACTGTGCCCATTTGGAAATGAATGAGGTTGGTTACTAAACCTGATCTTCTTAGAGAACTGAAAATAGTGCAGATCTTTGTGAGAAATGTGATTTTCACATATTGGCTGCTAATTCTTTTAAAAACACAGGAATGAAAAATAAATGTTATCATTTTAAAAAAGAGCTCCTAAGCTAATTTATAATCTCCAGGAAGAGAAATGACTCTTGTCACGATGGTAAGGATGACAGTTCAGTTGGTTGTTTACTTTGACTGCAAACAATTTTGTGGCTAATCAAAAACGATTGGAGGGGCATGTGGAGCGTATACAGTAGGTAATATCACGAGATAGTTGGGGTGCAGTGAGAGGAGGAAATGGAGTGTTCAGTAGATGAAAACTTTCAGTTACACAAGATCAGGTTCTGGAGATCTGATGTACAACATTATGCCTTACAGTTAACCCTAATAATTACATGCACACTTAAAAATCTGTTCAAACTATAGATTTCACAGTACAAGTTTTTAACACAAAGCTTTTATTTAGCTTAAAAAAATACTTTCTCTAGTATGCCTGTCCTTGAGCCTAACTATGCCATTACTTTAAAATAAATATAAATATATAGATATAGATATAGATAGTACAGATAACCTGAGGTACAGTCTGAGGGCACTCTTTTAATGTTTGGAGCATTTGTAGACTATTTTTCTGGGACCGGATACTTCTCTTTGTGATAGTTGTGATTTTTCAATCTTATTTATAGTGCTGGTTTGTTTGTTTGTTTGTTTGTAAAAAAATATTAAAAGATCTGTTCATGTAGGTCAAATCACATATGGTGTACAACAACTTCCAGTAATAGAAAATGAATGTATTCTTGTGATTTTTAGGTATATTAGTCCCCCTTTCCCACGGAGGATATGTTCTGAGACCCCAGTGGGTGCTTGAAACTTCATTCACTGTGTTTCCCCTACATGCATACCTGTGACAAAGTTTAATTTACAAATTAGGCACAGGGAGAGAGCAGTTATAACGATGTACTCTAATACAATTGCCAGCGTCACCGCCCTTGTCTTTTGGGACTGTTGTGAAGGAACCAAGGGTTATGTGAACACCAGCCCTGTGGTACCGTGACTGGTAGCTGAGACAGCTCCGTGCTGCCTGAGTGACGAGGGGAAACACGTTCGCACACGATGCCGACACGGCGAGTGGGATGCGGCAGCCTGGCCAGGGATTTCGTCACGCTGTTCAGAGCTAAGAATTCATTTTTGTTTTGGAATTGCCCATTACATATTTTGAACCATGGGTTTGATTATTTTTTTACACGAGTCATTTAAAATTCTGCCTGCTTTTTGATCCCAGATGCATCAAGTAAGATAGGTTGTTAGGAGTTTTTCTCAGAAGTGCTGTCCTCAGAGCAGCACCTTATGAACTTGTTAGAATGACTTCTCAGTAATGTCATAAGTAAGATGGAAAAGTCACAGCTGCTCCAAGGAGAGTAGTATCATGTCCCAGGGATCACTGTGAAGTGTTCCCAATACTAGTGCGGTGCCGCTCAGGCCATCCCTCGGGTTACCTGGGAGAAGCCTTAACTGAGGGAGAAGGCGTTAATGTTGGAAAGGAGATAGAGCCCACAGCCCCATGTGCAGTGTGGTGTAGGATAACTTTTTGAACATATTCCTACAATGGACCTTACAATAAATGAAGCCATCCTGTGCCTTCAGGTAAGAGATTTTACTTAATGGGTACTTTATAACTTTGCTATGGTATTGATCCTTTCATTAAGTAATTTATTCATAAAAGGTTACATTCCTTTTTACAACCAGTGAAATTCAGGTCTCATGTCTAGGGAAGCAAAGAATAAAATTTAAAGATTCTGTTGGGTCTTACATCAAGTGCTAAAGGCATGAAGTCCTGAGGACAGATTATTGCACATGTGATTAATAATTGAGAGGGCAGTGAGAGGACACCCAGCAGGAGAGCATCTTCGTGGCTTTAGTCTTC